AAATGCGATAGTTTATAAACAAATTAAAAATGGGCACTTTTCTTGTTTTTTTGCAATAACTTTTTTTGTTTATTAACCGATTTTAATTTAACAAGTCTCATTTTGTAGATAATTTTACTCCCTATAAGCTGTCTGCGAGACACTTTTTGCTAAATTTGATGGTTTTCCCTGCAAAGTGAAAAAACTGTTTTCCTCACTTATTTGTTTAAATAGAAAAGTTAGCTAATAAAAGTTTTTGACTCACGCGATGAGAGATGGCATGTATTATGTTCCTTTAGACAATTTTACAATAATATTGCGGATAGGACTTTTTTCGAGTTTCTCTTTTATTTTCGCTAATTTTCCTGGTGTAGAAATTCAGTTTTGTATTCAGGGGAATACGTACTAATATTCTTAAAAACTGACTCCCGCTTAAAGGTACACCTTTGAATATCTCGCTAAATATATTTTTTTAACTTGTACCGAGTTTATTCATGTTATTATTAAAAATCAAGGTTCTAAGAGTTATGTCGCGTGTATAAACAAGGACTTTTTTGTTTTCATATTGAATTTAATACGTTTTAATTCTTTCATAAACAAATAACAAACCTACTACTATTGTCATGTAAGTATTTGACTGATTTTTTACCATAATTGGAACATTAAAAAGGAATCTATTCTCATACTGATGCTGCGAGTTCCGAAAAAAAGCGTGAAATACTCATAACAAGTTGATTTATTCATAGACTTCAGTAGTTTGTCAAATTCCAGGCAAAGAAGGATGCGCTAAGTAAATAAACGCCCCACTTCTATCCGCTCGAAGTAAATCGAACTGAAGATCTTTCTCACCTGGAACAGGGCGCGAAATCCTGCCATGTACGGAATTAAACGAATCCTCTAACACTCCTGGTAATTGGTTTTATCAAGTTGCGAGTATACCGTTAATGAAACAACCGATGCAGCGGCCCCCAGAGTGTTGCATAAATCTTGTTCACTTCAAATCTCCGGAATGAAACGTCAGCGGAATTGCCATCTAAATCACTCGCTTGCTTAAGATGGGATTGCAACGTGTTTTCGGATGCGATTGGGATGCGGTTAGATATGCGATAAAAGCACGTGTTGGGTGCACCGCACCGAGAGAGTTCCCCTTGATTTGCAATCCATTTGGCTTGGCTGGGTGTAAAAAGGGTTGCGTTTTTGACTGATCATTTATCAATGCGGAGAACTCTTTGACTGTACCACTTATTTTAGTTTAGTATTAGTGAGATTTTACCCAAAACTGATTCGACCTCTTAAAATAAGTTAGTAAAAAATTCATAGAAGTTCTTTCCTGAAAATTTCTCATTTTATTCTTGGTTTTACCGTCAAAGCAATAATCACACAACATATAGTTTTATATTGCTAAATATGCATATTCACCAACATCTTCCTGTGTATGTGACGATTTTTCAAATGGAAACCCCTATTTTTTATTGCAGGATCGTATTCTACGGAAAAAAATACAAACTTTTTGCAGGGAACTTAATTTTCAAAAATGCATTTTTTTCCGAGTTTTCACGAATTTCGTTCGTCATGTTGTTTGAAGTGTCAGATGGATTCTGGCTGGGATTCATTCATTAACTGAAAAAAATGCATTTTCGAAAAAAAAGTTTCCTGCAAAAAATTTGTATTTTTATCCGTAGAATACGATCCTGCAATAAAAAATAGGGGTTTCCATTTTAAAAATCGAAGTTGACCCTCGTTTAACCTTGAAAATCGACTTCAAGGTCATTTTCAAGGTCACCATCGTATGTCTCCCTTCGAACCCTATAACTTTTGTCTAAAACATTTTTCCTCATTCTGCTCGGGTTTCGAGATATTTGGGGTGGGACATTAAAATGGGACACCCTGTATAGGCGCGGGCAAAATATTATGGTAAAGTATCCCTCAAAATTACTTTATGAGCAAATAAATGTTTTTGAAATTATATGCTTACATTATCATGTTTTATTATATTGTACGCATAAAACAAGATTCACTGCTTTTAAATGATTATGAAATAAGAGCTCCACACCAAATAACGCTACTCAAATACATTTACCTAAAAGGTATACCTTTATTCAGCTCAAATAACAAGTTATGAAATTAAAAACATGAGCAAATAACAATATGTGAAATTAACAATATTTTGCTGGCCTTAAAACTTCTTAACTTTATCCTCAGTTTTGCAATTACTGTATAATTAGTTTAGATCTATACCCCATGTACAGCCTGATTTTTAACTTAGTTGAAGATTCTGATCTCAAAATTCTAGAATAGACGTCGAAAAAATGGTTTTTTTTGCAAGAGAAATATGAATGAAATATTTATATTAAAACCCAAATAATTCTAGTTAGAAATCTTGAGAATTTTCCTTGTAATCGACATTTATTTATTCGTATTAATTCTTATTTAATCCCATTCCTATTTCTTAAATTAACTAATACACGTTTTTAGTAGTATTGTTTAACATTTGTTACTGTAAAGACGGCGTGAAATTTGGATATTATCGTGTGCTCGAGGTTTAAACTAAAAATTCCTAGGTCGCTCTGGTATTTAAACCAGTAACTAGAGCACGAATTCCTAAGGTTCTTCATCAAATTCTTGGCACATGTTCTGCTCCCACTTACACATCGATTAATCTAGATAAGCAAGAATTTAATGTCACGAAGTGTCACATGCCCTTGTATATGGAAACTCTCGTAAAGTCTCGCAAATAGGATACAAATTTGGTACAGAATATTACATTTTCTCTTCAATAATTTGGCACTTAAAGAGTAAATGCAAAACGTGAATCACAAATTACACGGAGAAGAAAAAATGTCTAAATGAACGTAGAACTATTCGCAAATGTTTGATAGTAGATTGATAAAATTTAGAATAATAACTTATGTAATCGCAGGCAAAAATTGTTATACAAAATCTCTCAGCCAGTGGCGGAGATGCAGGGAGATGCCTTCTCTAAAAACCGCCGAGTTTCGACGCTACTGAATATTTTGGGTATTGGATAAATGTATCTAATTCCTGTTGAAAAAATATGTCTTCCATTTCAGCCGAAAAATCGAACAATTTTTAATTAATTATTATTTCAAATATAAAATAAGCTGTCGATATAGTTGAATAAATCGTTAAATGACTTCATCAGTATTCATTTCACAAAGAAATATACATAGGAATTATTTGTTAGAAATAAAAAATATAAAATATATACAATTTGATTAAAATCGTGATTCAACACGTTTTATTTATGTAAAAAATGACGTTGAATCAATCACTCCCCAAGTGTATATGAGTACAGGTTAAAAATCCCCGCCCTAACACTTTTTTGTCGTCCCTAAACGCCATGTTTGTTGCAGATCAGGAATATTGGTACGAGCAGGCCCGCATCGCCCTGCGGCGACGGCTGCAATACGCCACAGATCGACGACCGCACGCCAAGAACGTAGTGCTGTTCGTGGGCGACGGCATGGGGGTGGCCACGGCGACGGCGGCGCGCATCCTGCGAGGGCAACGCCTCGGAAAGCGCGGCGAGGACCACGAGCTGGCCTGGGACACTTTCCCGGCGGTCGCCTTCGCTAAGGTTAGTGTACAGAAGTGATCTGATTGATAACAAGTAATTGAAAATAATTAGAGACGACGTCACATGCGTAAAGGCTATAAAAGTCATCATAACTACTTTCTGCTTACTCAAAATTACTTTTTGTTGATAAAAATATTATTTTTCGTAAACTGTCATAAACTGTCGACATTTTCATTAAATTTTCAGTTGACAAAGTGAGTCTTTTTTGTCACTTAGCTGCAAAATACTTTTATGTTCTAGAACGCCAAAATGTTTTTCGTTCTAGAACATGAAACAAATGTCAAAATATGTAATTTGTCATTTTTTCGAAACTTATTTATGATTTTATTAATTAGACAATATACATTTTAAGTAATATAACATTCCAATACAAAACAGTAACTATCTTAAACAGGATGATTGCAATTTATTTTGCACTACATGTAAATTGAAAGTGGCGATATTGCAGTGAGTTAAATTTATGCCAGATCAGTGCTGTCAGTTATCGCAGCTGTTAGTTGTAGGTGTTCAATGAAGCTGATGCTGTAATTGTTTAAGTTTACTATGCACGCTGTATTATTGGTATGTTCCGTAGGCTCTGCTGAAGATTGCAACAATTTATTTGCGACTGAATTTTTATTTTGTATAGAATCTTCTATACATATGTGTCTTCGCTGCCGTTTTGGAACGCCACCCCCCATTTCGTTTAATCGTGGTAATATCGGCCCCTGCATCGGTTGACAGGGTGGCGAAAGAACGTCTAAAGCAGTGCTTTGTATAAGTTTCCGGATGATACGAGCCTTGTTGGAGTTACTAATATTTTCGCCCGTGCGGAACGAATCTGGATTAAGCTCGATTGCCTCCCGTATGAGACTCCAGTGTTATGAAGGATCTTCCGAAATCTCAACTTTAGCTGAGTAGCCTCCCGTATTATGGGACCTCAGTACCTTCCGGCTCTGCCGGCTAACTAACACCAAATCTCTCCAGTTTTACTTGGAAGTGTGTATGACTAATATGGGGTTAACAGATGACATTTAGTGACACATTAAATAAGACAGGACTTATTTATCATTAGCAAAGGTTCTTAATTTATGCCTTTGGTTAGTGGTTGTTTTTGTATTTATATTTGGGTGGTAAGAGCAACGATCGTGGGTTTCTCTGCCTTGCTCTTTCCCCACAGGAGCTCTAGGTGAGCCTGGCACTCTCATTTTATGTTTAATGGTTGTTAATGTTTTTGTTGTTCTTCCTATTTGTCACATGTTTAATTTGAATTGTATGTAAATAAAGGTTAGGTGTATTTACTCTGCTTTTGTTTTATATAATTAAACCATACATCCCCTCTACAAAGTTAGTAGCCAGCGCCTTCCGGTCAATAAAAAATAAATACACACAACGTAGGGATTCCTTATGACGATCACATGTTTTTGGCCACAATGACGTTTACTTATTTTTTGTCGAACCTAAGGTTGTTATACTACAAATCTTTGCCTTTTATATCATCGATCGTTCTCTTTAGTAGCTCATCTGTCCTCAAAGCGCCACAAACAGCAAGTATTAAAATGACCTGAAACGTCCAAAATTAATTAACTCGATAGATTTGAATGATCTTTTCTAGCAAAAATCTACAATACAAAACAGTAACTATCTTAAACAGGATGATTGCAATTTATTTTGCACTACATGTAAATTGAAAGTAGCGATATTGCAGTGAGTTAAATTTATGCCAGATCCAGTGCTGTCAGTTGTCGCAGCTGTTAGTTGTAGGTGTTCAATGAAGCTGATGCTGTAATTGTTTAAGTAAAGTAAGTAAGTAAGTAAACACCCTTTGAATTCGTTGTAGGCAATCTCGTACTGTCTCGACGATTTTTTGGGGATTAATTGTGAAACAGGAGTGTGGTGCTTCCAATACTTCCACTGGTAAATGTTCGTCTTCACTTTCCGAGCTCATTTTGAATTAAACACTCTTAGAACATGAATTACAATATATAATTCTGACACTACTTTTTCAAACAACTAATTCTTATTGTTTATTAGGCCTTGATTCAAACACGGTTTAAACGATTTCAAATATAAAATAAATTGCTATATACAGGGTGTCCCATTAATACTGCGAAATGTACTATTTCGCGTTCTAGATACAAAAATAACTATTCAATAGATCTCTAATAATGTCACGTGTCTGATTGATGTTAAAATGGCAAAAGATCATATAGAAGCAACAAGATGGCGCTTGTGTTACTGTATATACAATCTGGGCGCTGGCGCTGTACAAACGTTGATGAAACTCATTGTTATAGAAAGGGAACCAAATTACAGAAATTACTATTACTGTTTGGCTGAAACACGAAACATGTTTTTTTTTATACCTACGACAAATTACTACCAAAAGATGAAAAAAAAATCAGTATAATATGTGCCTACCAATTTGTTACTTGTTGTTTTAATAATTTTAATTTTACCGAAATTTAATTACTATTTCATTACAAAATTACTGGTCACGTGGCTTGAGTCATTTAAGAAAGCTAGGTATATACCCGAATAAAGTAACTTTATTAAGAACTGTCAGTAACTTACGTTTCAATCTTGTTAGATATCCACAATACCATATTCAGTCTCAAGAGAATTACATAGAAGGCCGTGTTCATATTTCAGAAAACGGAATTTGAAATTAGGACCATGTTATTGATAAAATAGTCCGTAAATCACTTCGATTTCTCGAGATACACGACCCTACACGACTGCAACATTTTGATGTAGGCTTCCCCTCGCTTTTTCAGCAGGACGATTATAATATGTATAAAGTACTTAAATTTGAATAGCATTTGTACAAGCGAAAGGGAAATCCACAAAAAGTTATATTTCAGCATAAAAGTAAAACAAAGTGTTGAAAAAAATGTTCACAATGCCCTAAAATCTATAAACAACTCTGAATATGTAAATTTGAGATCAAAGAAACATACCTATACTTATTTTTAATTGTGAAAAAATGATTTCACATTACTTCAGCATTTTTTTAATTAAAAAAGTACATATTCTCTTTTTTTCTGAAGAGTAATACCAGTTTATACCTATCTACTCTTTAGCAAACTTTTTGCTGCTTTGTATGAGCTTTGTAAAATTTGAACATCAAAGCTGGGAGTGAGTATGATTCGAGATTTTTGTATAAATATTCATAAAGCAGACGAAGTGCCTATCGTAATACAGCTGTTGCTGTATTGCTGGCTAACATGTAAACATTAAATATTTACATTGTTTTTATATAAAGCAAGGGAGAACGTCAAGTCCTGCCTATAAAAATATTTGAATTTGTAATACGTTTTTATTAACGCGGCGTAAAATTAAAAAATAGCATAAAATTTTGATAGACAGTAATGTACAAGCTTATGTATTTGATTCCGAATAAGTTTATATGAACATACTGAACAACCAGTTGAAAATGTGGAGCTACGAGGTCTGTTCAGAAAATAACCGAACTTTATTTTTTTTAAACTATTATTAATATTACACTATTACTCCTTGTCTCCTTCAAAGTACTCCCTCATACATTTTCTCCAGCGGTGTTTCCATTTCGCGAAGTAGTCCTGGATAACTTTATTTGAAATGGCCTTTAAGTTCATGAATATGGCGGCCAAAAACTAAAAAAATGTTCACAATTTTAACAGCATCGGTACTGCCATCAAAATTTGAAGCGACAAAAAAATTAAGATGGCGGCATCAATATGGCAGCCATAAACCCAAAAATTGTTGATAAATGATCAAGAATTTCAATCTCAGAGTTTAAACGACTTAAAACAGTAACCGGAATTATTGATCAAGAACCTGATATAAAACATTTTAAATCACAAAATGGCGGATAGAAGATGGCGAACTTTTGGCAAAACCCCGATGTAAATGCCTTTAAAAATACCGCTTGGAAATTAATAGGCAGTGATTATCAAGGCCACTTATCTCAAATCTGGTCTGATGGAATCTAAGTCTCAAAATGGTGAACCCAAGATGGCGGACTAAAGGCTAAAACGCGCATCAACTATTCTTCGGTATACCGGATCGCTCTGAAAATAGATTAACTAGATATTTCAAGATAGTATGCTAAAAAATAGGTTATGATAGATTCAAAATTATAAAATGGCGTATCCAATATGGCAGATTTATTAACGGAATTCGCATCAATTGCCTTTAAAAACATCGGATATTATTGAAAACGGTTTTACGGTTTTTTTTAAGATTGTTTATTACAAATCTAGCATGACACAATTCAGTCCCAGAATAATCGATGTAAGATGACATAACAAGATGGCGGAAATATGATAGAAATCCTCATTAAATACCTTTCAGATCTTGGATTCGTTTTAAAAGGAATTGACGGATTCGTTTTTAAGATCGCTTAATGTAGGTAAATCTGAAATGAAACTACCGGACTTATGGTACTCATTAAATTTTAGTTAGATTTTGGAATGATCGTTTTCAGGAGTATCTGATTGCATTACGAAATTAAAATCAAACAATAGCAGACATAATAGCATTAGTTTAAATTAGAAATGTTTAAAATACTAATTGTTGTCCTGAGTAATGTTGTGATCTACGATCGACATTATTTTTTAGATTAATACTTTAAGTGAAAATCTGTAACATCTTTTTTTATCACTCATTCAACGGTCCAATTCAGAATAGTTGGCGAATTTTTCAACAAGTTTGCAAGAGATAGGTGGTAAGTTTCCAAAGACCATTGGAAACACCACCTATCTCAGGAAAGTTGGTAACTTTTGCATTATTTTGAGTTTTAATCTTTAATCCGCCATCTTGGGTCCGCCATTTTGAGATTTAGATTCCATCAGATCAGATTTGATATAAGTGGTTTTAATCACTGCCAATGCATTTCCAAATGAATTTTTAAAGGCATTTACATCAGGGTTTAGTTAAAAGTTCGCCATCTTGGATCCGCCATTTTGTGATATGAAATGTTTTATACCAAGCTTTTGATAAATCATTCCGGATACTGTTTGTAAGTCGTTTAAACTCTG